ATATTATTAGCTATTTAGTATATTTATGTACCATTTAGATTTATAAAACCGTGTTAAAATTTGTACAATCCAAGTAATAAATGTTTTATTTTTAATCCAATACAACATGCCTTAATGCCTTGTAGAACTTAATTTTTTAGACAATATGTAAAAGGTGTCAACTAAAAGACTTTTTTCTATAATGTATTTTTTATTGTAGTGGTTCACACAGCCTTGGAAAAGGTTGTAAACCTTTTCCAAGGCTGTGTGAACCACTACAATCAAAAAAACTACTTATTTTTTAACCAAAAGTTTATGTTACTATCTTTTTTCAACACATTAACTTCAAAATATAATTCAAAATACAGCAGTTTGTTTTTCTAAACAGCAGCCTTGATAAACAAGGCCACTGTTCAGAAAAACAAATTGAAGGCTATACTACTAGGATCATAATGGGAATCTAACAATAACTAAAACTTATTAACAACCTAAAATTACTCCCATGCCTTAAAACGTTAGGTGAAGCAAGGGCTGAAATCATGTATACTAGATAGTGGGGAGATATTAACTGAATTCAGCTTTCTTGTAGAAAACCTCCAAGGCAAAAACTTTAGGGGTATATATAGGGCCAATAAAAGGCTGGTGATGCAAATCTGTGTTACATTGATTCCTGCTAAGATAATTGATCTACTTGATTCTACAAATCATTTCTTGTACTATTTTAGTAGGGTGTATATGAGGCAACTACTCATTAGGAATTGCCTATCCATGCAACTCCTAATGAGGAGTTGCATGGATAGGCATTTCTTCTCAATCTCCTTTATGTGTTTCAGACATGTTATGATCTCTCTAAAACTTTCATCTCATACTTTTTCTACATCAGATTTCTTTTTATGTTATTGATGTTTAATAATTTCATTTTATCTTATTGATGCTCAGATTAGTATATATTCAATTTTTACTTAGTTAGTTTCTAGAAACTTTTGAAAAAAATTTTAACAGTATCTTTAAAAAAGCTTTTAACATTCTACCTCTAACATTCCTTCTTAAAGTCTTATTTTATTACTATTCATTGGGAACAGTAATAAGATAAGACTAACATATGTGAGAAGCACAGAAACAATAAGGCAAAACTACTCCCAAGTAGTTGTTCTGCAAGTTCTTCTCAAAAATCTAATAACCACACTCTCTTTGACATCCAAAACAAAAAAGTTAATCAATTATTTAAAATTCAGATTGTGGTCTTTTTTGTTTAATCAATTATTTTAAATAATTGATTAAACAAAAAAGTTAATCAATTATTTAAAATTCAGATTGTGGTCAACTGCCTTGCAAAAGTCTTTCCAGAACTTCTTTCAATATTCTCTATAGTACTCAAAAACTCTGAACTGAACCATGTTTTCTGTTTGAAAATAAAGTTCTGCGTGCTGAAAACGGACTTCTGAAAAACTGCTTAGTGGTTAATGGTATTTGTTTATTTTTAAATATTCCAAAGATCGCTCTAGCATTTTTAAAACTCAATAAAGATCTAATTTTAATATACCTAATAGAACACTAATGTCATATTTTAGCAGGTTATGCTAATGATACTTTTAAGATAAACTTTCAAAACACTTTAAGTGTAGTTGAATCTAATTAACCTCTAACTGCCACATTTAAGCTTATGTCACATCACTGTAAGATTGCATCCTTTTCTCTTTTCTACAAATACTAGCATGGTTACAGCATAAATGAGCTACCATAAATGAGTTTCCAATACCTGAAGTCACATTCTATTAATGTAATTATTTTTTAATTGCTTAAAAAACTTTTATATAAAACGCTTTTTCAAGAACATTAATGGAGTGATTGGATAAATGAATGGATGAACATCAATGATAAAGAACTCTCACTTTTGTCTTGATGTTTTCCTGACTCGTACAATCTACAGTTCTTTTAGTCTTTCATATGCCATCCCTTCTTGTTCTTAAACTCTTTTCTCTACTTTCTAGTAGATCATAACTTAAATAGTATTTGCATGCAGTTTAGTGAGAAGTGAATTTTAAAGGGAACTGAGGATAAAATATTTTGTGTAACCTAAAGTTAAAGGCAACTTAGGATAAAGGAACTGTGTTTTTAATTTTGATTATTTTAGCTCTATTGGAACTTTTTTTTTTTTTTTTTCTATTTTACTTCACCTTTTCAAGGCCGAATAGGCCACTACAGACAAGGAGGCTACTAAAACAATCAAAAGCTTTAAATTGAATCATTTACTTAAAAAAATGACTTGCATGATTATGATGGCAGAGGTGTCTGTTAAAAAAATTGTGATTCTTTTCTTTTCTAATAGTTCTGTTATAAATTTAACTTTAAACAAAAATCTTATAACAATCAATAAACAGTATAAAAAAATGTGAAAATTTATTATTTATTAAAAATTTATTCTTTATTAAAAATTTACCGGATTTTTTTTCTTCAATTCCAGTCATTTTATTTATTATATTAGAGCACTATAAAATAGAAACACTAATGAAAAATTATAGATTCACTTGATGATAAACTTAAATAATCTAATAATATATCTAACTTTTCACTTGAATGTTTTATTAATTTTCTTAGAATATATATTCTTAATAAGGCATAGCTGCCAAATGTAAGGCTAAGATCAGAGCCTATTTTGTAAAGTAAAAGTAAAACAAAAATATAAATCCTGTATTTATATGCAAACTCTTATAACCTATTCTACTACTTGTCAATTAAAAAGTCATTATGTGAAAATATTTTTACCATAATTATAATTTAATCAAGGTAAAAATAATCCTAATAAAACTATCAACAATGAAAATGCATTAGTAACTACAAAATTATTTTCTGAAACTTTTAAGATCTTGAATTTAAAGTAAAAAACAAGTTAAAAAACAATTTTTTTTTACAGTAATTAATTTTAAAGCCAAGAAACAAGTTTTAAAAAGTTTTAAAATCATATGTCAAAACAAATGCATTAAATTTTGGCTTTGCCAAAACTGAACATAATTATTATCTTGTAATTTATGTATAGCTGACTCAAATTTCTTCCTTGTTGTCCTATGTAAAAACTAGGTCACTTTAATTCAACAACAAATTATTAAGATAAAAATAATTAAATAAACTTATTTCAACTTTAATTTAAACAACTTTAAAGATTGTTCAATTCATTTCAAACTTTATAATGAATTAAAACTTACCATGACAAATTGTAATAAATTTATTGTAAATATAAACAGGTATTTCACAATATACAAATGATATTAACATTATATATACACATTTTTAGTATAAATATTATAGTTTATTCTTAAAGAGGTTATTATCAGAAAAAGTTTATTTAAAAAGTAATAAATTATAACTTTATAAACTTTTTCTGAGTAAATTTTATTACATTAAATCATTTAAAAATTTAAATGATAATCATTAGATGTCACAATTTGCATCATAAACACCTGCAGAAATATTTACTTTTTAATTACTCTTACCCATTATATTTAATTTTACATTTAATTTAAAAATAAAATTAGAAGAACAATGATAAAATAAAAATTTAGAAAGTTTAAAATAGATATATTTCAAAATGCAGTCAGCTAAACAGTTATATAAGTCTTAATAAGTCTTTTTTCGGTTTTGCAAATTCATTGCTTTTATTAGTAAGGAAAAATTATTTGTTCTCTATCTTCCTAATGCTTTAAGTTTTTATTTTTATAAAATAATGAAAAAAAGAATGCTAGATTTTATTAATAATTTTTGTGCCAGAGTTAAAATATAGGGAAATCAAAAATTTGAAAAAAAAAAAAACAGAAAATTTAGTTTGAGATTTTAAATTTCTTAACACTATATCAAACATGTGACTTGAAACGCGCGGAAAATGACAGATAAAATTTTGCTCCATTTAGGCGAACAAGTTTACGTAGTTCAAAGAAATGACGTTTACACACTTCCAATAAATACCCTTTTGAGTCTAAAGGGTAGAAAAGTTATAACCGAAAGGGGTAGAAAAACTTCTCTAGATTAGAGAAATCACTGTACATAATAAAAGAATTCAAAATATTTCATCTTAAAACCATGAGTTTTAGAATTGATTGTTTAAATAAAATCTAAACAAATGCTAAATGAAGTGAACTTCCTATCATCAATACTGTCATGTCTATAGTGGTATCTATTATTGTCTTAATATAGTTAAAAGTGTCTTTGTTTCTGTGTTAGCTTATGTTACCCGTAATTTACGATATATTTATGTTTATTTTCTGTCTGAATTTCTAGCGCGTTGTTCACTCACCCGTAAGTTATTATTTGTATATTGGTGTTCTGTCTGAACTTCTGGCGCGGTGTTCATTTCGATATGTATGTTTTTATTCATTCTAAACCTCTGGCGCAGTGTTTATCCACCCGTAAATCACTATATGTTTTTTTGCGTTCTGTCTGATCCCCCGGCGTGCTTTTTGCTCACTAGCGAGTTATTATATATATGTTTGTGTTTTGTATAAATCTTCGGTGAAGTGCTAGCTCAGTTACCAAATAGACCACAATCTTAAAACTAAGACTCACCTAAAATTCCCGTATTCCGTTCAAAGTAAATTTTTTCCTAATGGATTTTTAAATTCTCACGTTCATTATTATAAAATATTGCTCACAAGAAGTAAACTCTTTTAACTATTCCAGGTCAGGAATCAGGATCATCGAGATCATCCTGGTATTGGTAACATGTAATCTATAACTACCTGCCCATGTCCTGCTGCCTTGAAAGATTTGCTTTTTTAGGCAAAAGCTAGGAAAAATCCGTCGTTTTTTTTTATCTCGTACTTCTTCGGACTCTACTATTGCACTACTTAAAAATACCCTTAAACTGACTGGGATTCTTTTCGTAATTTTCTTTGAGAAGGTTTTTGTGGTAACGACTTTCCTCTTTTTGCTGATAAATATGTCTCCTAGGTAACTTCCTGGATCCAGGCAAGTATGGAGGTATTTATTCCATTTTGTCGGTATCAAGTCAAGTCTCATTCTACTCCATGATTCTCGCCTATTTGTGAAGTTGTTCTGCTCAAAAAGGTGAAACAATTTTTTTTTCCTTTTTTTTTCAAAGTAGCAATTCTCTTGAGAACAAACGTCTTTTTATTATTGAAAAAAAATCAATGTAAAAAAGTCCTGTCTGATACTAAGCTCCATTATTCTCAGTTTACTAAATCTCATTAAAAACATAACCCTTATCTCGAACCTAATAACTCACTTTATAACAAGCAATATGATTGTTGATCTTTTCTATCTACGGCTGGCTTGCTAATTATTGTGATTAAAAGATTCTATCGTGCATAAAAAAGATGAAAAAGATGAAAAAGATCCGTCACTTATAACAAATCAAAAGGTTTAGATATTAACTTTTGAGTATTAACTTTATCCGTAAAGTTTGGCATATTAACTTTTTCCATAAGCTTGTCTTACATGATGTTTTTAGGAAAGTTTAAGGAATTATCGAATCCTTACTTTCTAGCTGCAGTGTTAAATTCATCCTCAAAGGCCAATACTTTTTTTCATTTCTTGGTCTTATTTTGTTTCTTATCTACATGAATAATTTTCTCATACTCCTGTTTTGACACAAATTTTGCTCTTTTTGATGTTTAGAGCAACAGTCAAATTTGAATCTGATCTCACTACTTTAACAGCTTAGGTTTGCAATAGCTTGTGATTTTTAACTCCAACAAAACTCAGTTATTTACTGAAAACAAATATCGCAATACCGTCGGCATTCCGGCATTTCGGATATAATGAACGGAAAACCTTTTACTGAGTCCTCTTCTTTATTTCTTCTTGGACTTTTATTCATTGCTAGTCTCTTATGGAAACAAAATATATAATCAATTGCAAAGTTAGAATCTGCTAAGGTTTCTTCTCTTTATTGTGCTTGCCATTATCTGTTTCTCAACTCCAACCTCTACCTCTAAAAATATTCTTTGTCCTTGTATGTACAATATATATTGTATTTATATTTTTATATTGTATTTTATATTTTTACATAATTATTTTTTATATATTTTTTAAATGATTATCTTTCTCTTTTAAAAAAGTTACAAAAACGCATTGTAAATGTCGTTGCTCCGACAAACGTCGTCGACAAAAATGTCGTTGCTCTGCTCTGAAAATCTTAATACTCTCTCCCATTATCGTAAACTTGCATCTCTTTTTTTTTCTAAAAATACTATCATGGTCTCTGCTCAAAGGAGCAATCATCTCTAGTTCCGTTAACCAAAACTCATTTTCTTTTGAATTCTCATTTAGAAATTTAGAAATGTCCATCCTCTAGTCCCTGCATGCTCTAAAAACTTATGTTTGTTTTTTTGCTTGCATTTTAATCCGTTAGAACTCTCTAGCATCTTTATGTTTTTCTAACACATACAACCTAAAACTTTTCAAGTCTTTTGTCAACCGTTTCCTTGCTCTTTAACTCTATTCTTTTTTTTCTAGTAACTCCCAACTTAATAGTAGTTGGTAATAGTTTAAAAGAATTATTTTATATATCGTATAATAAATCCAAATATTTTGAAAATTTAAGTTGAAAAAATAAATCTAATATTTTAAAATTACAAAATCATACCCTTATATAATGACTTGAGTGAGTCGCTAAAAAAAGGAATACACTAAATTGAAAATTTAGTGTATTCCTGTTTTGTGCACATACCAAAGCCTTGTCATAGCAATTATATGGATGTACAACAAGGTATTGATAAATGGCATGATTATAAAAAGTTCAAAATTACTTCAAATCGACAAATTACATTACTAGGGCTGCATGGAAATTTAAAATCTTCATTAAATTGGAGTATTGTCAAAAATGGTACAAACTCTCATGGTATGAGTCATATGAAAAAATATTCATACCATATAAAATCTAAACAAGCTTTATTTAGTTCTATACTAAATTTTTAGTATAAATGCATTTATAAACATCTAATTTTGTCTTTTGAACATTTAACTTAATAATTTTAAAAATAAAATAAATAATCAACACAAATATGGCTGCCTTTTTTAACTTGCTTTCTAAACAAATGCTAAAAAAAGTAAACTTCCTATCATAAATAGTACCTAATATTTGTAACGTCTGTAAAAAAAATATTCAGCGTGGTATCTTATACAAATAAAGAGCAAAAAAAAAAACACTTTGATAAAATTAGTAAATTTAAGATTGAGAAATGTGTATAAGACTATGGATATAGCCCATATAATTTAGGTCTATGGCGTGTTTATTAGAAGCAAAAACATAAACGCTATTTACTAATGGGCCTTTAAGATCTATTAATAGTTATCTACAATAATATATTCAATGCCAACTTCAAATGCTTTGCTCAGCAATAAAATATTGTGTGTTACAGTTGTATCACTCTGAAAAAAATCCACAAGTTTTTTCCTACTTCGTTTTTTTTTTTTTTTATTTGCATTCACTCCCAACAAGGCTACAAGCAACCACTTTTAAGTTGGGAGTTACTAGGAAGAAAAAAAATAACAGAGTTATAAAGCAAG